CCATAACCAGGTGGTCGGGCTTTCGGTATCGCGTACTCTTCACACGATGCACTTCTCACATATGCACGCACATCCACCATTGGCGAGTGTCGGACATCAGATACCGCACACGTTTAGTCTACCTCCTCGTGGGCACGTGATTGGCCAGTGTGTTGCGTGCGACGTATGGAATCGCAATTAGTGGATGTAACTGCTGAAACCGCGTTCCAAAGTTGCACGCGTGCTGAATAAACAGTACAAAAGGCACAACCGCTCGGTTCTAAATAATGGATCATACTGTATAGTTACTGTAAGCTGCTTGATTTTCAGATGTAATCAATTGCCACGTTCGACTGCTTGAAGAAATGTAGTCCTAGAATTGATAATGATAAAAACTCTGTAGCAGAAGAACAAACAGAATAAAAATACGCAGGGGTTCGAGTAACCAGGTGTCTAAAATCTGAGATCAGGGGAGATATAGACACATAGTTCGAAAATTCATTGTGTTGAAGGGCATTTTGAAAGTAATTATTTTTTTATTAAAGAAAGTGCCTTGTCAAAAAATCAGTATCTAACCTGTGGCCATTTTATGCTCTACTCATATTGAAAACGTTACCATTTATGGTATGCAAACTGTTTTTTGATGTATAGGCTCAGAACACACATGCTGTTCGTCAAGACTCTATTTAAACATTTTTGATTGCATAAATTCCTGCACACTGGTTAAACTACTCTTCTATATCTCTCCCTGGTTTAAAAGCAAAAGAGTTCGCCACGTTCACTCGGTCCTTGGAATTCTGGTGGCATTGATCAAACCGGTTTGGCTGAATTGTTTTCTTTTCACAGAAAGAATTCGTCGTGTATAGTAAGCGTGAAATTAGGTGCATGTCATTAATGGAATAGCTCGTGATGAACAGTCTTCATTACGAAACTGAGGAAACCGGTGTTGATTCCCCACCCTCAGCCTAAAGCATGCTAAATTTTATCTACATGCCAAGACAGAATCATCCTGTACCTAGCCCGTCTCTTGGTAAATCGCACAACAGTTTGCGTTCGCATGAAGCAATACTGTAACATTACTACTTTTTCTACATTACAGTGACTGTAATTGTACGCCAACACTTGACTAATCTAAGATAACTGGGACACATTCAGGATACTAGATTCATCCTTCTTTGTTCACGGATATCTGTTGCGTTTCCGGTCCTGCATACCTACATGAGATTTCCGTTGGTTTATCAGCGCCTTCGAGCCGTTTTTGTTTGTCGACACTGCATAGATTATGTTGAATTCCTTCTCCGTCAATGAAAGATTTTCCTTGTTCCCACAGAACATTGCAAGAAAACGGGCGGGTAAATGTAGTAGAACTTTTAAAGATAGCGAGCAGGAAACAGACAAACATAATTGTCGAGCCTTCTCAAGAATGTAGTTGAAGTGTGAAGTACACTTGAAATCCTGGCAAATAGTAACAGTGGGGTATTGTACAGAACGTATTGAAATAACGGACTGATTGTCAACATAGAGTATGGAGCACTTTCTTTCAAAAGAATGCAGCCATTCTGCGTTGGTTAATGAGGATGTATCATCCCCATATCCAGAAGCGTTAACAGATAATTTGGAATATGAAGACCATAAGCTTAAGACAGATCAATTGGTTTGAATGTGCGAGAAACAAAAATCAGCTCGGGGTTTGGTCATGGTGAAATCATGAACATAATGGATAAGAAGCTCATCTAGGTTGGTAGATTGGACTCAAATATATACTGACAGATTGATGGTACAGCAACAATACAAAAACGCCTATAGGTACCATAAAACGATCGATCCTGGACGCCAATTTGTTAAGATCAGGAAAAATAGCAAACCCGTAACCGTGGCTGGGTTCTAAAAGTGTGGGTGCGGAAACACTTATATAGGCAGAAAAGAAAGGCAATCACGTAATCGGGTTTTAGAACACATTCCGAATTAGGTTCAATGCAGGGTCGCCATGACAAAGTTCACACAGTCAGTAACTGATAAGGACTGTGCTTACAAACCATCAAGCTCATCGGTTTCCAAGCTCTTGTTGGTGACGCAATACCTAGGGGATCGCGAGAAAATATTTCGAGTGATTTTTATTAATGATAACACCAGAATGCTCAAGATCGCCGAGGAGGTTGCAATCAACCAACGGAAACCAAATCTGTGTCAACAAAAAGACTTGGCTTTGCCTTTGTGACGCTTACAAGTGTTTATTTTGAAATATATTCCCAAACCCTATATAAATATTGTATTTGTCTGCAGTAGGCACCAGTTGAGATGCAGTAAAATCTTCCAGGACATAAATGCTGCTATGCTGGTTTCATTTTAAAATCAGTAGATGCTTGTTATAGGGCATCGGAATTTTTGGGATCAAGCTGTGCACGTTCAGCCCAGTTTCCATCCACCCACACAGTAACATTTCATTCGGTCAGATTCCAAAATACGATTCTGTGGTTGACGCATACCTAAATAAGCTTCGCGAACGGGTCAAACACGACACTGCCACTTCACAAGCACTGATGATGTCACCTCGGCTGGTGAAGAAACTTTTGCAAACAAATTGCTAAGCTCGGCGAAAAGGCGAAATACAATTCAATTCACCCGAGCTATGAGAACCATTTTCCATAATTTATCAACAATTCTGAACTTTTCAAAGGCACAGACATCTCGGCATATCTCTCTTCTACTCATATGAGCAGTTCACCTATCAACTCTCCCGCAAATTCTTTTCTTTAAATGAGCCTTGTTTGGAGGGCTTACCGTACCACGGAACTACTACTCGCATTTGTCTGAAGCTCACATCTTTTCATTCTAGTGTTGCAAATGTGCGAACTGTCACCTACTATCCGATCTGGCACTCCTTCCCCGTCGGACAACGTGATACGGAATGACAAGCCCACTGCCAGAATACACTCTACAGATACAGAGGACTAGGAGAATGAAGAGATTCGCAAACTTGAACAGATCCGTGTTTATCGATCAGCTAACTTTGCATCGCACTTTTCCGCTACCTTTCTTTCTGGTCCCTTGTAATAAAAACACCACCTGTACGATTTCCTGTCATGGAATAGCAATCATCACTCCGGTTTATTCAGTCTAAACTTACTATTTTATTTTCATACTCGTTGACCCGCTGACAGTTCGGTCACAGAATTGTTACGCTCCATTCACATCCTCTGTATGAACGTCGTGTCCTTCCCCCATCCCCCATGGTCCTAGCTATTTCTGATGTACTTCATCTGCCTATCAATCTCTGGTAGTATTTTTGTTGTCTGACATTTCGCACGAATTTCAAGCATAACAGAGTTAGACCAATGCACGTGTCTTTTGTTCCAGTCTTGTGTGAAATCCTTCCCTTCACTTTACCACTTTTTGTTCCTTTTTTCATCTAGTGCTATCTTCAAAGACAGTGATAGAAAAAAACGAAATGAGAACTGCAACATGGCCTTGTGGTTTTTATTCGACAGTCGGTCGATGACAGGAACTCGATATACCCCCGTGTAGCTCGGAGCTTTCCTAGGAGGCTGATGTCAATCACTTTTTTAGTGTAATTCCTTTACTGGACTGTTTGTGATCAGGGGTAACAACTCTCTTCACTAACGATACCCATCTATGAGGCTCGTCACAACATTCCAGGGTGATCCGATCGTAATTCTAGCGGCAGTGAAGTAATTTGATTTCACCGGGATATCGGATGGCACGAGTATTTAGTCCAATTTTTCACACGTGCTTCAGCCTGCTAACAGTTATTTTACCATTTTGTGGCGGGAAAAATTGATCACTCTGCACCCAAAAATCGGATTACCTATAGCACCTCCTCTACCTTGCCATCATAAAAAATATTTCAAAAGTGTCACCTGTCTTTCGTTATCTCACTTATATGGAAGTAGCTTTCAGCATTTACTGCACATCTTGCACTGTTGCGACGAAGCCGAGCTAGCACGTGTGATCCACGTCCGGCACCCTTTCCACACTAAAAAACTCTCGTGACAAATAGTATTCCCTCTCTCGTCAGTTCGGCTTGTTATTGCATATCAGGCATTTACTTTTGTTCCCGTAACGATGTGTTTCATGCTTCATAACTTTAAACGTCATTTCTTTTGTTCTTATGGATCCTCGAAAGAAGATCTCGTGATCTTCTCGTAATGCCATTACTCATGATGTGCTTATGATTCAACGCCACCTATTCCTCAAACAAATCACAGTTGATTCATCATGTACGCGCTTGGCTTCGCGCCTTTTCAGCTTGCATTTGAGACGTGTTCGTGTTTTCTCCCCTCCTTCCCTGAACTTTTCGGTCTAAGTTCGCCTGTTTCTCCTACGTGTAGAGAACTGTTCGAACCCAGGCTCAGACCATATCACTCGTTTGTCCGTTCCGGGAGCCTGCTATTGTGCACCGCCCCCCCCCCCCCACACACACAGAGCATTCTACAGCTTGTTATTTCTGTCCAAAAATCACTCCCGGTTTTATTCAGATCGGATTTCGCAGAAATGTATACCTCAAACATTCAATATAAAACCCAAAACGATGAGGCAATATTGCATATAAACATATTAGTGTGTAACTATTCGTGATCTACAGGGATCGACGAAATAACACTCATTCTCTGAATTGAAACATGCAACATTGGATGCTCCCAGAAACCATCTGAACAAACAAGCACTGTGTGTGTGTGTGTCTGTATGTGTGGTCAGTTCCATAGTGAATTTTAAACACTTTATAATGCCATCATCGTTTTCATTTTGGGGAGAAATTTTGAGAACAAGTAGCGCGATAAATGATCAACGAAATACTATTTCGTGGAATGCGTATGTCGAAAAGCCAGGGATAGGTGTGTGTAATGCGGAAGAGAACCACAAAAGCTTCTGCAAAATTGTTCGCTAGTGCGTTCTTTACTACTGATTAATCATAAGTAGCAAAATCTGAGGGAAGTGAGATTTATGTTCCACAAACTTAATTTTACTCCATAATCCTAGAATTCGTTCACAATTTGGGACCGGGAGGTTTCGCAAAATAAAATTAGTATATTGTACGCGGTTTATTGTGTTATTTTTTCAACCCTTTGGTACTTCTTTCGTACACTCGCATATGTAACAATTCGCGGTCTCTCATCAAATGCATGGCCACTGTGTCCGGTCCACGTGTCCGGCGTAGTCGATCAGTTCCAGCGGAACAACATGAATGCTTTACGGCGCATGTAGAAGTAGATAAAGTGTTCCGGCTCATATCGGACCGATCTGAAGCAGAGAAAACAGATTCGAAAGAAACGAGTGAGTGTTGGAGAGCGAGAACTCGTGGAAAGAAACAGTGTACTTAAAAAACAACTCACAAGCGCGTTTGAATATGTGAATAATTTTTTGAATGAGCAATGACAAAAAAAAATAGTGCATAGGGTGTGATGTGGAGCGGGGCATGGTTTAATGTGTCAATTGTTCCGAAATGCCTTTCCAGTGGACAGAAAAACATCTCCAAAACAGCGTCGTATGCACATGTGGTCAGGAGCAAACTCGTGCAAAATAAAAGAATTAGAGTACACTTCCCCATCTCAAAATGCACCTCTTTGCGCTTCACGCTTACAACATATGGCACACAAACACACAAAATGTTTGTTATGGTATTCATAAAGTTCACTTGTAATTACACATAGTGGTTGTATTGGAGTGCTATTTGAATTCATCGTTTGTTTTACTGCATCAATTCTGTTTTTATGATTGGTCCGTGTAAGACTTTAATTTTGCCGGTCGCAAAATCTGATTGGTTCAGGGTTATATATAAACGCCTGTAATTCCCTTCCCAAATGTGATTCGTGTCCATTGGACTAGAGAAAATATATCGAGAGCATTTCCTGAAGTATTGAGTTTTGACAGCGGTCTTATGTGTCATTTACATGGGAATTTTCGATACTTGACCTCACACATAGCTAGTTTCTCTCCCCCTCCCCCTCTTCGCAGTGGTCACCCACTCACATCGTTCTCGCTGTATTATTTTATTATTTTATTATTCGCTCCTTATGTTTGAATTTGAATCTATCTATCGATCGATCGATCTACCTACCATAGCCGACGTGACTTATATATCACTGCAGGATATTTTATAATGTGTAGCACATGATTAATTCCAATGACATTTAATTATGGTAATTATTCATAAATGAACCACTAGAAGTCTGTGCAAACAAATACACTAAGCGTTGTTAGATACCTATGTAAAAACTATGCCTTCTGGAGACAAGTACGTGAATAGCCTAGTAAAAACATCACCGGATACTTCTCATTCCAGATGTGCAACTGGTTTTTCATTTGGTTTGCAAATCTTCTCTTTACTACTCTAGAGTACTTTAGATGTTTGCTGTCATCTTTTCTGGCTAAAATACTTGTCACAGTGAACAGCGAAGAGTGCACGTTAGAACTAACTGTACAACTCTGATTTGTCGAGAACACAAGTCACTGAACTGGAGCGGGCTGACTGTAATCGTATCAACACAATTTCCAAGGTCATCGGGTGAAATACAGATCAATAATCACAAGTCATGTCAATACCAGTAAGGTCTACAGCGAGGCCGACCAGTCATGTAACATGTGCGAGTGAGCTGCAGCATGATTTGAGCTCTCATCCCCCCCTCCTCCTTTCAAAAGATGAAATCGAACACACCACCGATGACTCATAGGTTTGATTCATGAGGTTGATGATCTGCCGGCCTGAAGTTCGGGTTGAGTTTCGCCCACCCGGTTGATTAGGTGCTTTGATTTCGGTGCTAAAAGTCTACCGGACTTGTGTTCGTAATCCGGTGGTCTATCGATAAATCCACGGGTATACAATCAGCGGAGCATTTTGTTGAATCTTATTGCCCGATCCCAAGTCCGGGGCTGGTTGATATGTTTAGTCCTCACGAAATGCCCACTCTGACTTTATATGTGGTGGATCCATCTAATTTTATAACCTATCCCGGGAATCCAGTTCAACAATCCATTTCGAAAACTACTCACATAAGGATGATCTTCTGACTTAAAATTTCTCAATCCGACATTAGTATTCTAAGTGGTGTGTGATTCTGCAATAGCTTGCGCGCTCGGAATCATGGCATCGAGAAATAACCGCACTCGTCGACCTGGAAACAGTTGGACCGAGGACTTCTGTTCTGGGGGGTAGCTGGTTTGGGAGTCAAGCGGTAAGTGAGGAGAAATGCATCAATGGACTGTTGTAGTTTACTCTCCCCTTGTGACTTAATCAGTGAACGTTTAAACGTGTCAACGAATCGTTTCACTTGACCGTTCGATTGCGGGTGATACACTGGAGTACGAACATGGTAGATGCTATTTGACTAACAGAAGACAGCGAGTTATGAAGATGTAAAATATGGGCCGTTATCTGAAGCCAAGACTTCTGGTATGCCGAATTGGGTAAATAATCTCCTGAGGTTTGTTATGACGGCAAATGTAGTTCTACCACGAATCGGAATAACTTCAGACTACTTAGAATATGCATCAACAACTATTAGGTAATACATATCCTCAACAGGGCCAGCAAAATCAACGTGAATGCATGACCAGGGCGCCGTGGCAGGTCTCTATGATTGAGGTCCAGCCGTGGATAGTAGTTTAGCCGTCAATCAACAGTTGTGGCAAGTTTTAACTTGGTTTTTCATTTGCTGATCCATAACTGGCCAGTATACAAAACTTCAAGCAATTGCGTTTGCTGTACGGGATAAATCAAGATCATCCGAAAAAATGCTGGGGCAGTCAATTTTCGGGTGGAAAAAAATCAAAGGTGGTCAAATTCAGATCTGGTACGAGGATGTAAAAGCCCTGACCAGGAAACTGGCTCATATACGTTGCGTTAGGCTTCCCGGATGGGTACATCAAGATTATCGTAATCAGTTGCTAGATACACTGAGTGATACGTCGTCAACAGTGGCGCTCGTGTATTCATATATTATCCCTGTGACTCTAGTCTACATGAATTCTCTATTTTCAGTTTGACTTTGATTTGAACATTCCGATCTTTCTAAATGCAATTGAACTGTTTGTGATAACCAACAAAGAGCACTGGACAGCTGTCTCATCTTGTTTGGGAATCGTCAGCAGTGCGTACTTTTGTGTCCCTGCCAGGATTCGAATAGTGATTCTTCGGGTTGGGACTTCAAACCCTTACTCTTGAGCTACACGATCGACGGTGATCACCTTGTGTGAATGGCTTAATCAATTTAGATGGTGAATGTTTGGATTAGCCCATTCGAGTTTTTCATAGGCACTAGGCTTTGCTTCTATTAGCCACTACAAGACAATTATTCAACAAGCCGTACACCTCAAGGTCAACTTTCGAAGATAAACTTTTATGTTTCTTGGACTATGTTTTCAGGATAATGCGTGGATACTTTGTAACCAAATAATTTATTGATTTGTTAAAGCTAGAATATTTTCATTAATTTGTTTATTTACAGTGCACTGAATGAAAAGAGATGAGCAATTTAAAGTACATTTGCTCAACTTAGTAAACACTCTCGTGAAATACGAATCATGCATCAAAAAGAATGAATTCCCATGCTACTTTGCGTAAAATATTTCCAAAATCTCAGCTGTTACTTTCGAACTACTACAAACTTTATCGCAACACTCAAGGTCACGCAAATTCAAACGGTGGGAGGTAAAATCAGAAATCGATACACTTTACCCATAGCCATCAATTTACAATTATGATATTGGAAAAAGAAATGTATTTCCAAAATGAGAGTGATTTTGCACGAATTTGATCAACACCTGTACCTGTATCCCATTTTCCTCAACACACAGACGCGCAAGCACACAAATATGCTATAACACAGCCGAACATAATTTAGCAGTCCCTTGGGCGTAGCGTGCGTGATCCAATCAGTAGATTCGTCTACAGTATCAGAATTGTGCATTGCGAACAATAGCACGATCCTTTGGCATGCAAACAGACTTTTCACGCGATCACGTGTCAGGCTGCAGGGATCAGTGCCGGCTCAGTCAGCAACTAATAGAAATTGAATAAGGAGCGAATTGTTGACACACAAATCAACTGACAAACATCAAATGCGTTGGTTGTTTGTGCAAAGGTAAAGTTCCCGTTTGGATGTATGCAAATGTTTGAAAACGATGGATAGTGTGGAATAGTTTCGTGATAAACTGGCCCGTGGTAACGTGATTCTGTGTGAGTTATGAGACTGCCAAAAAAATGATGGTACCACCTTGGCCTGTTAGATTTTCGAGAGACACTATGAATTTTGTGTGGATGGATCACCAAAAAGTCACTCTGAACCATCGGTATCTGCACTGGGAGATTTTATAACAACTTGTCTTAAACACGCAATTAGGTAGACATTCCGGGAAGCGGATGGAAACTGAGGGGCGTAGTTCTTGTTTAGACAGTACACCAGATGGAAGACGCAAGAAATTTCCAGAGGGTGGGAGAGGGGCACAGAAAAATGAATTACATCGCGAACGTTATTCCAATTATTATGAAAGTCTGGTTCGAAGCGGAATCTGGGACGTACTCCTTTCAGATGATTGGTTTTATTCACTGGAACAGGAAAAGTTGAATTTGATTGCGTCCGAGGCGACTTTCACACATATATATATATATATACATACTTATACGCCACTCAAACTAGTTTCATGTCAACACTCTGCTGGGTGCAGACTAACTGGTACGAAGTTCCCAGTTCAGACAGATCGACAATAATAATAATAATATCACCTTAGTCAAACAAAGGAGCCCTGGGATCCGTAATAAGTAATTCAATGAGTACGATACTGTAAAACATCACCTTATTATTTATGCAAGCGAACCTTCTCGGTTAACCCATCAAACAAAACTATCACGCGCATGTGAAACATCATTGTATGGTGTGAGTGAAAAATGACCAAACTACCGAAATTTGCTTATAGCGACAAAAAGGTTTGTTGGTCATAAAGGCTATCGAGGGAGCAGGCCCTAATTGACTCCGGAGTGACCGAGTGCGTCCGGGTGTCTGTGTGTGCGCATAGAGGCCGGTGGTTACTCTTGCGTTATTCATAACCTGTCTATCTGTCGCTTTTGTGACCCAAGAAAGTTTTCATAGTTATCAACAATCTGAGGTCATTCGGTTCTTTCCCATGCACTTTGCATGTAAATCGAAATAAAGATCGATTCAATATCACAATCAGATTAACCCAATCAGATTAGTCTATTACAGAGAAGCCATGTGCATCAGTTCGTCCTAACGCTTAACTTGTGC